GACGCAGTACTCCATCTGTGGCCTCCCCAAGGCCGAGTACAAGGGGAGAATGATGTCCTGGGATTCGCTTGAGAAGCATCTATGGATGCAAGCCAGCATTTTGGTTGCTTTACTAGCCACAGCATCGCATTGCAGGCTCATGTTCATCTTGTGGTCAGTGATGGCCCCCAGGTCTCTTTCTTCCGTAGTGCTAGCCAGTGTAGCACTGCTGAGCCTATAAGGATGCTGCAGGTTTTTCCTCCCAAGGTGGAGAACCTTACATTTTTCAGTGTTGATTAGATGCCATAGTTTGAGTCAACTCTGTGCAGTCTCTACCTTAGTCTGTGTTCTTGATTCTACTCAAGGCTTCTTGATCAAGAAGCCCAGGCATTCAGGCTGCCTATACATGTGCTTGTGGGTGGGAACGTTTTAATTAGAACGGTTCTTGGAGAGCTGCTTTAATTAAAACACTTCACTGTCATGTCTGTTAAGCCTCTGTGGGTTTAAAAATGGTCGTGGGGCACTTCATCTAAACCTGATTCAATGAGGCTTAGATAAAGCACCACAGTGGCCATTTTTAAACCCACAGGGGCTTATACAGACAAGGTTCTTTGAGTAAGTGTGATATCTTTTATTAGACAAATAAAAGATATCATATTTACCTGTCTGCCTATGTTCTTGGACCAACATGGCTACAGCCAACAACCCCAGGGGCTTATTCATGTGACAACGAGGCCATGCTGAAGCATTCTAAGTAGAATGTGAAGGAGACTTGTTTAATTTAGTCTGATCTGATAAATTCTAACTAGAATGCAAACCAACACATGTATAGACACTTTCACGTTTTAAGCATCATGTTTCCTCTTATAGAGGTGCAACAAGCTGTTTCTGCACCCTGGGCAACAGTGGCAGCAGTGGCAGTGACAGCTATTCTTGTGCCCTCTCACAATCAGTCACTGGGGCTTGGTGGCTCAGTCACCCACCCCTAATTATGCAGCTAGATAGAAAGATGTTTGTTATGGATCAATATATTTTCTGCCTTCTTTCTTTTGCCAGAGAAAGGGAGGAGATGGGTGATAGTTCAGTCCTGTAAAGAGGATGAAAATTGCTTAAAATAATTACATAACAAGGAAGCTTGCAACTTTCAAGACCAGTACCCAAATACAAATCTGAGCCACTAAATTCATTGATTTTGTCAGCATTCTGACAGACTTTAATGATGTTTTATTCACACACACTGAAGAAGTAGGTTTCAGAAGGTTTTAGAGGATATGCTGATACAGTCAATGACTTAAGAGATGCTTAAGAAAAAGGACCATAGATCAGTGTTGCTTTGATATCCTTTGGGCTTCACTAATTGGGAAAAGGTTTAGTTTCAACAGAGGATGGTGTGGGTAATGTCCTAGATATAATTCAGGAGATCTGTGCATTGCTGAACATCCTTTAATGAGGGCTTCCTCTTGCTACTTCCCATACATTCAGATATTCACAATTGTGTACATCTGAAAGTGCCACAGATAGGTCTATGGAAGGAACTCTAAGAATAATTTATCTTCACCTTTTGACAATATGGTTTGTACTTACTTCACCCCTTCAAATGTTTTCACAACTATATTGGGTAAATGACAACAGCATTGCCATAAAACCCTTAGAAGTCCTGTACAGGATGCATGATCTCCTATTATTCTGGAATTACAGAAAAGGGAGAATGACCATCAAAACTGTAGATCCTTCTTGCAGAAGCTGGTGTCTTTCTATATGTTGCTTCTTTTACCACTCTGTTCAATGAGCCAGACACAACATGTCCTTAAGTAAGAATTTGATCATTCGTAGATACATTTTGTTTTTGGATCACCAGGCATTTCAGTGGTTGTAGGATAGACAGCAAGGGTGATTATTCTCAGACTATTCCACAAGCAAGGGATGATGGATGCCTCTGTTTATTTGATCAGAGGTTTTGTACTTCTTGGTTAACTTAGCATTGGGTAATTAGGAATTGCCAGGCACTGCTGGCATGACATGCCTTCTAGTGGGATTAGCTTCTTCCACACTCATAACACTTTCTAAAGGAGGAAAAGAGCCAGAAAAGATTTATGGCCAAGTCTATATTCTTTACTCTGCCAAGCCTAGGATCACTGCCAAGAAATAAACTCTGCCCACTCACTCCTGCTCTGCCCACATCCAAGTTTGGCAATTAGACAGTGTAGACACTCTAAAAAAAAAAGGGCTCCTGTCTCTCCTGAGACAGCAGGTCTAAGAATAGTGCTGGGGCATACACTAACGACTTCTGCGAAGCTGTCTACTCTGGCTAATTGTGAGGCTTGGGTATAAGAGGAGTGGGATGGAGTGGGTGGAGCTTATCTTGTCAGTAGTTTTGCATTTGACATGGAGATGATATAAACATGGCCTTTATCCCATTCCACTTCATGGTATTCCCCAGATATCCTTCCTCATCCTTTTTCCTGAGTTCCAGTTCATAAGCCAACTGGAGAGGTAACCTAACTTCCTGTGTTAAAAAAAAGATGATCTGCAATGTCAAATGAAAGAGTTTCTTATTCCTGTGACTTCATTGCTTCCAAAGGTAAAAGGAGGAAATGGTCCTGTATTAGTCATGAAAGCAGGAGTGTATTAGCAGGTTGAGATTCATATGGTGACACAAGTCTCTATAATCCTCTCTCTAAACTCATTGATTTGATCTGAAGTTCATGATCATAATAATACCTTTTCCTTTCTGGGAGTTCCGCACTTCCAAAGATCATTGTTAAATGTACATGACAGTGATGAAAACTCACTTGAAAACATGGTGGGCGTTTCCATATAACTAGATGGTGGAAGACTTCCTTCTGTATGGAAGTGAATTATATTCTCTCTTTTTCCCTCTCCCTCTCCCCCCTCCCCTTCCCCC